TATGCCAGCGAATCATATAACTGTATATGTATAGCGAGACTAGCAAATTATACAATTTAGGAGAGTGAATGATATAGTTATATATATAGTGAATTATACAGTTATACATTTGTTATAAAACGTAATTATGCAAATTTTGCTATAACATATAAATATGAATTTTTTGTTTGCCGTAAAAGTTGACCCGTTTTTTGACCTAATCTAAATTAAAGCCCAACTCCAGTGATTAGGGCCTCCAGCCCATCCAATTGGCACCCGATCATATAAATATACCTCTTTCTACATATCGACTCGTCTAGGGTTTAGGTTTCTTCTTCGCAGCCATCAATCAGCGCAGCGGCAGCACCAGCACCTTGAAGCGAAAATGGTGAAGGGACGCCAAGGAGAACGCATTAGGTACATCATTATTTCAATTGCTTCTTCCGTCTCCATTTTCTCTGCATTAATCATCTGCTCAACCTCATTTTGTCCATTTTTTTCGCAGGCTCTACGTTAGAGGGACTGTTCTTGGATACAAAAGGTAGCTTTCTGTTTGTTTTACAATATCCTGCTTGGTGAAAAGATGTAAATTGATCCTTTTTTCCTTATTCTTTAGGTCGAAATCGAACCAGTATCCCAACACTTCGTTGATTCAGATCGAGGGAGTGAACACTAAGGAAGAAGTGGACTGGTACCTTGGGAAGAGGCTGGGATACATCTACAAGGCAAAGACAAAGAAGAATAACTCGCACTATCGTTGCATTTGGGGCAAAGTTTGCAGGCCACATGGAAACAGTGGCGTTGTTAGAGCTAAGTTCAAGTCCAATTTGCCTCCTAAATCAATGGTACTTTTTTTTTCTTTTTCTGATAATATGTATGTGATTCATTTACTTAATCGTGGTATTCAGCATGCTTGTGGTTATAGGAGATGAAAAAAATTGTTTTTTTTTCAAACTGTTGGCGTAATTTCGTTGTCTAATTTTGCAGGGAGCCAAGGTTAGGGTTTTCATGTACCCAAGCAACATTTAAGGTAATTTCTTTTGTTTTTTGTCCTAGTGTTTAGATGTTCTAAGTACTGGATTGATTGAATTTTGTGCTTTGATGCATGCAATTTGCCATGCGAATAGTTTAATTTGATAAATAAAAGCTAGTTTAGGCTATGGAGGCTTCATTATTCACCTCAATCAACCTATCTACTTATTAGGTCCTATGTTATTTTAATTTCTCACGATCAATGGTGTTATATTTTGAAATTTGAATATACATTTTGGATAATGCCATGCGTCTTTCCTTCTTGTCTAGCATGAATTCTCTAGACAAGAATGGTGTGAAGTGATAACAGAACAGTCAGAATTATTTTTCAATTTTTCACTATGTATAATCTTTCTACATACTTGTGAAAATTGCAAGTATTTTAGGATAAAGTGTTAGTGTAAGGGTTATGTTGGTAGTGTAATAAATTGCTTGCCTACACATAGGGAATGGTACATATTGGTTCTATCTGAATTTTTTCTAGGATTCTTTATTTGTGTATCTTCTGTTTAAAGTAATTTCAAGCTGCTGTTTGAGTCAATATTTACTGAGATTGAAATGAATTTCAAGTGTAAAACCATTTTTACAGTATGATTCATTTGAATAATAATCACCAAAGAGGTATATATCTTGCTGTTGGAACATCAGTGTTGACAAGGGCCTATGTGAATAAACCTTGAGCCTACTTTATTTGTAGCGAAGTTATATTAATACATGGTTAGATGGATTTTGTATTTTGATTTGTCATATGAATGTTTGATTATTGAGTTTAAACTTTTTAGTAGTTGTTATTTTGGTCGGTTTCTAATTGCAATTGTTTTGTTGTTCATACAAATTGATTATATTTGAAGTTGCTTAAGTTGATCTTTTTTGCAGTGGGCATTTAGATGTCGAGGATCTTGATTGGAATCGTTGGTTGCTATGGGTGGTGCTGTAGTGTGCTACATCAATGTTTTCAATGATGAGAAGTCGTCATCCTTAAAAGTAGTTAGTTAAATTTTGTATTGTGCTTTGTGGAGTCTCATCTTATCTTTTTCATTTTTATCATTTCTGGTTAATACCAAGACTGATACGTCTGATTAGATGTGACTAATTTTGCTTATGGAGCAATGCCAACTTTTTTTGTATGACTATTCAGTTGTGTCTTTGTTTTAATCTTTTTTACTTCCACCAGGTTTATCTGTTTGCTTGTGAATAATAGTTGCACTTGCTAGATCCATTCATTATGCTGAAAACAATCTTGGAATTTGCCCATTTTTTGATTCCTTGAATAAATATGGTTCAGTTTGTTTTGGTGTTTGAGAGACTCTATAAATGAAGTTGAATATCCATTATTCAGCCCTAATGGATACTATTATTATTGGATGCCTTGGTTTTGGTTATAGTGAGATAGAAAGTGTAGCATGTTGAGTGTAGTTTTGGATGTGGATTTTACAATGTTCTAAAGCTTGGTGCCGCTGATGGTAAAAGGGGTGATCAGGAGAGCTGTTCTATTAGAGGGCTGAATAGGTATTGAAGATGGAGATCATAACTTTGTATTGGTCTCCGGAGTTCTGATTTCTTTGTAGATATTGTTCCTTACCAAGTAAAGTAGGCATTAGAGTTCACAGCTATTTGTGAAGAATACTTGTTGAGATTTAAGAGTGTAGCCCTGTCTTTCTGTGATACAACGAAAGGCATTTATTTCTCTAATGTCTTTTCCCATCTTTTTAAACACTTGCCTGGTGAATCCAGAGGATGGATGTGCATTTGCAAGATTTATTATATTATTAGATGAGGAATTTGCTTTTAAATTCATTTTACTTCCCCTGCTTCTGCTTCTGCTCTGTGATGCTGTCTAGATATTCCACAATGTGCTTTCATTAATCACAACACTTTGACAATTTTAAACCTGAGCTAGAATTGGGTTAATGTTGGGCTAAATGGAAAGATCACTTTCAAAATGGGTAATGATGTGTGTTGGGCTAAAATCAATCCAATATGAACTGCATAAATCCTTAAGAATTAGGGAGGATTGGGACATCACTTTTTGGTGTCATATCTGACACCCCTAGTGAAATATCTACCTTATTTTACGGGGGCTTTTATATGTTTAATTTTTTCTTCCACTATGCTCACCGTTATGTATTTTAAAGCATACAATTTGAAAGTTTTTTCTTGAAACTTTAAATTAAAACGGAGAGAGAATTGTACTAATGAAAACGTGATTTTCCTTGTGTTTATCGTGAATTTGTAATTTATTTTTCAACCTTTTTGTATCTATCATTTATATAAAACGATAAAACAAAAACTTATGTAAGTAGATTTTTAATGAATGCAGCTCTTCCTCGAAGAAAACAAGAAGATAAATAGTACTTATAGGATTGATCCCATTCGTCATCAGAAAATGAATTTAGTTCAGCTGCTAATGCTAAGAATGTTTCACACGCTGAAAAGTTAGTTTATTATGTACTAATTGTTAACGTCTTTAATCATCCAAAAAAAATAAAATATAAATGCAATTGATTAATGGACGTGTAGTTTGGGTATTGTTATTCTTTGGTTTAAAACTGCGTATAAATGAGGAATTGTTTCAGTGGACCACTTGCTATGAAGACCAACTCTTTATTTGTTTCAAAATCAACCCTATGGTCGTTTAGAGATAATCCCATATTTTCTTTGTTCGTTTTTATTTTCTAATAGAAAAACACAGGAAGTGTACACAATATCCTGTAGTAACTCATCGTTTATTATTGCTCTTCACATCAGAAAGTGTAACTATCAAGCAAGAGAGAGATCAGAATGGCAATAGAGCGGCCTTGGAAAAATAGTTTTTTTTTTTAAAAATAAATTTATGTACAAAGAATAAAGTAGCACAGATTGTTTGTCCTGGAAAAAAAATAAATTTTATTTGTATATATGAATAAATTTATTTAAGAAATTAAAATAAAAAGTTAACCAAAGGGACAACCTTTTAAATATATACACAAAATATATAACTTTTTATGAATGTATCGTGTATATCTTTTCATTAAAATTTATTAAAAAATGGCGAAAACAAAAAGTTAACCAAAGGATCAACTTTTTTATAATTATATATACATACAGAGTAGTTTTTTTTTTAATATCATGTATATCTTTTCATTAAAATTTATTTAAGAAATTAAAATAAAAAAAGAAGAAAAAAAGTTAACAAAAGGGTCAACTTTATTTTTTTTCATAATTATATATTCATATTGAATCAACAAATTGTTGATAAAATAAGCTGGAAAACACAAAGACAATAGTGCTAGTTGCTCGAGATGAATGCTGTTTTGCAAGACTAAACGACACAATAAAGTTAACATAATTAGACTTCTGATATAAGAATTGTAAGATCCAAATTGATAAGAAGAACCAGTTTTTTTTAATGCATTGTCTTCTTTTAGTTTTGAGTGAATCGTTTTTTTATTGTGGTGTTCGAATATAATTCAGGAGTCAAGTGATCAACTATAGTAATTTGCCCCAAGTTAGACTAAAATGTCCTCTATCAAAACAGTACTATTTCTTTTCTTTTTTTTCCGTCTTTACTCTACTCTTAAAATCCTTCAAAAGAAAATGTCATGTTCATGTCATACAGATTGGAATATGAGATAATGAATAGGCGCGGGATAGGGAAAAATTAGGAAAAAATGGCTGAAATACTATGAGATCCATAAGATTGTTTTGCTTTGATATTTAATTGTCTTTATTAAATAATAATAATAAACCCGATAAATGATGATATACGATAAATTGGACCTAAATGTATTATTTTTAATTTTTCAGCAACCACTTCGTGTGTTTGTCTCATTTCAAAATGCTAGTCCACACAATTTTTTCTAAAGAAATCCTATTCACGTACGTATAATCAAATAATATAGAACAATATTATTTTTACATGTTTTTTCTTCTCAATTTTATTGAAGCTATTTGAAAGCTCCATTAATGAAGGTTTAGAGCACACTAAAGTGTATGAAAGAATGAAAAAGAAGGAAGAAGAAACTGTATTATTCTCTCAATATTTCACTGATTGATTCTGTCAACTTGTTCCTTTACATTTAGATGAGCACCTCTATTAATTATAGAATAGGATTGTAACAAACATCCTAACTGATTGTAGAAGCTTATAGAATTCTTCTAATAATTGACTCACTTCACACCATATAGCTTGTTTTCACCTTTATTGCTCAACACTCTCCTTCAAGCTTATGGCTGAAATATGTTCTTCATTCCCAGTTTGCTTCTCAATACACTGTGTTGAACCTTTCCAAGACTTTTAGTTGATAAATCAGCTAGTTGATCCTTGGTGTTTACCTGTTCAGTTTTAAACATTCCTTGGAATATCCTTTCTCTATTTAAGTGACAATCAACGTCAAAAATGCTTTGTTCTTTCATGAAAGATGGAGTTGGCTGCAATCTGAATAGCTATTTTGCTGTCACATGTTAGTTTTACTAGCAGAGCCACCTTCATTCCTAGTTCTTCGTATAGTCCGATCAACTAGGTTATTTCAGCAGCACATGCTGTCATGCTTCTAAACTCTGCTTTTCCTGAACTTCTTGACATTATCTCTTGCTTCTTCGATTTCCAAGAAATAATCCCTCTTCCAAATCTTACTATATATCCTGTAACTGACCTCCTGGTTTCCTACCATGCACCCCAGTCAGAATCACAATAGGCTGTAAGTTCAATAGTGTCTCCTGCAGGCATCAACAATCTTAGATCAGGTGCTTTCTTGATATACCTGACTACCCTTAGAGCTACATACATATGTGGTTGTTTAGGACAGTGCATGAACTGACTTAATACTTGCACTGAGAATGCAATATCAGGTCTAGTCATGGTAAGATACAAAAGTCTTCCTATCAGTCTCTGATATTTAGCAGGATCAGCTAAAATATTATCATCTTCAACTAATTCATTGTTGATATGCTCATCATATTTAACTGAAGTAAGTTTATAATTCAATTCCAATGGAGTGCAGACCTGTTTAGCTCCCCCTAGGCCTGATTCAGATATCAACTCCAATGCATACCTTTTTAACATTATTATTCCATTGTTAGACCTGGACACTTCAATGCATAGAAAGAACTTTAGTTCTCCCAGATCTTTCATTTTGAACTTCTTTTGAATCCAGTCTTGTATCACATTGTAGCTGCTAATTGTTTCCAGTGATAAGCAAGTCATTAACATACACTAATTTTTCTACACTGTCATCACCAACTAGCTTTGTAAATAGTGAATAGTCATAGTGACTTTGCTTGAATCCCATATTAAGAAAAGCTTCTGTTAATTTCACATTCCATTGTCTTGGTGCTTACTTAAGTCCATATAAGGACTTGTGTAGTTTGAAGACCTTGTGAGTCTCCCTATATCTAGCAAACCCACTAGGAATGTCCATATACACCTTCTCCATCAAATCTCCATTAAGGAATACATTATGAACATCCATTTGATAGATAAACCAGCCTCTAGATGCAACACTGAACTAAGGATCTAACAGTGACCATATTGGCTACTAGGATAAATGTCTCTCCATAGTCAAGACAAACTTGCTGACTGTAGCCCTTAGCTACCAGTCTAGCCTTAAGTCTCTCAACAATTCTAGAAGATTAGTATTTGACTTTGTAAATCCACCTACACCCTATGGATTTCTTACTCGAGGGAAGATCAACAATACTCCAAGTGTCCAACTTCATAGCCTGTACCTAAGCTGGATCATCAGCAACTTCTGAGAAGGAGTAAGGCTCACAGATGGCTGAGTATGCATACAGGGCCTGCTGATAAGCTTTGGATAACTTGGAATAAGTGAGTTGATTATCAATTTGATAAAAACAAGTAGTCTTTCCAGGTTTAGTAACATATTCCTGAAGCCAGAGAGGAGTTTTAGAAGGCGTGATGGATTTTGTAGATGTTTTAATTGGAGCCTGAGAAGAAGCATGCATAGGAGGTATAAGATCAAGAACCTTTATTCATAGTGTCTGCTTCATAAGCAGGAATGGGAGCCATATGGTCAACCTCATGAACCATTGTTTCAACTTCAAAAGAAGGAGGAACAATATGAGTATCACCACCTGAGGTAGCATCATCTTGAGGGAGCATACTAAGCACAGGAAACTTGTGACTGAAACCCCATTGAACATGTTTGAAGGGAAACAAGTGTTCATGAAACATAACATTCCTATTCACAAAGACTGAATGATTGTGAAGATCATACAATACATAACCCTTCTGTGTGGATGAATACCAGATGAATACTGTAGGAATTTACTTTAGAGAGAACTTATCTAGAACTTTAGGTTGAGCAGCATAACAGAAACAACCAGACATTCTCAGATGTAGCAAGGAAGGGGGGGTGGTGCATAAACGGTTTCTCATATGGGTAAAGAAAACCAAGCAACCTAGATGGAAGCCTGTTCATGATATATACTGCAATGGACATACACTCAACCCAGACCTTGAGTGGGATTGAGGCTTAAAATCTGAGAAACCTGACAATGTTTAGGATGCATCTGTGTTTTCTCTCAGCAACAAAACACAAGAACTCTAATGAAGAATTCCTAGATTGATCAACAATGCTTTAAACTCATGATTAAAAAACTCACACCCATTGTCTGTACTCAATGTTTTAACATTAATGAGAAAACATTAGTGACTTGTTTGAAAAACTGTGTAAGAACTACTATAGTATAGCTTTGGAGTTAATTAAAAACACCCAAGTATATCTGCTATAGTCATCCGCAATAGTAACAAAAAACCACTTTCCTTTATAGGTGGGCACTCTGTATGTCCCCCACATATCGCAGTGTAACAGATAAAACATATTTGTAGACATAGTAGTACATACAGGAAAAGGAAGTTTGGTGTTCTTAGCAGGTGAACACACTATATAATAAGTGTTGTCCTTACACTTAAATGAACTAAGAAAGTCATTCTTCTTTATTATATGAATGGGAGCATGACCCAGTCTCTTATGCCATACATCAGCAGATTCATACACAACAGGTAAACCAGCAGACTAATTACTAAACCTTCTAGTTCTATGAATTAGCCTTTTTGGAGCTTGAGTTGGTCCCCCTTTTAGTATATATAGTTCATGATACTCCTTACCAATCCTTTTTACCTGACCAGTGGAGAGATCTTGAAAGACATAAAAGTCAGGAAAAAATGCTACCATGCAATTAAGTTCCTTAGTGAGCTTGAAGACTAATATTAAGTTAACCATAAATAAGGGCAGGTTTAACACATTTGATATAGTTTGGTTGGCCAGTAGACATGTGTTGCCTACGTGAGTTACTGCTACTTTATTTACATTAGGTAGGTGTACATGATTGTTTGAATCAGCAGGAACTGCACTACTGGTGACTAGAGTGTCAATAGTAGGAGGTAATATGATGAGTGACACCAGTATCTACTATCCATTCATTTAGAACATGAGAGCATAGGTTTACAGAAGACTTACCTGCATCTACATATTGATAGAGACATTATTAGACAGTAGCTGAAAGATTTGTTGGTATTGATCCTGAGAAAAAAGAGCACCACCTTGGGAACCAGAAGTTTCATTGACTGTATGCCCAACATCTCATGAGCTTTCAACTTGATGTGCAGAAGCACCTGAAGAGGAGCCTTTCCTTTTTGACTTAAAGTAAGAAGGATATCCCATAATTTTGCAGCATTGCTCTTTAGAGTGCCCTTTGCAGACACAATGAGTGATTGCACAATGTTTTGTCTTGTTTTATAAGTTCCAGACATACTTGCACCACTACTAGACCAGTTATAGAGGAGCTGCTTGTAGACCCTGTGTGGTAGACTGGAACTTTGTGACTTTACATTGTTGAACCTACAATTGGACTTAGTCCTACACTTGGATAAACAGAATGCACTAGATTTCTCTGAGACTCTTGGTCCAAGAGAAAAACATATGTTTTGTTTAATGTGGGAAGAAGACTCATCATAAAAATTTGACTCTTAGGAGGGGAATAAGAGTCATTGAGACCCATGAGAAACTGTAGTAACCTCTGGTAGTCATAATTTTCACCAAATTTCCTTGATTCAGGATAAGGACACGAGGGATGGGGCATGATAGCAACATACTCATCTCAAAGATCTCTCAATTTGGAAAAGTAATCAACAATAGACATAGTTCCTTGGATAAGTGAGTGAATTTATTTATGAAGATGAAACACTCTGGATCCATAAACAGTGTTAAATCTCTCCCTTAGATCCGAAGCATACACAATTGAGCTCAAGAGCCCAGGTCTTACAACATTCATAATCCAAGACAAAACTTCAGCATTACATTTTACCCATTGATCATGCAGTATAGGCTCAAACATAGAATTAGGAAATCAACCATCAACAAATCCTAATTTACTACGACCTACAAGTCCAATCCTGAATGATCTACTCCATAGTGCACAACTCTCAGATCCAGTAAACTGAAGAGAGACTAAAGAGCTACCTAAAGAATCTGTGTGTTGCAGGAAAGGATGATATGATCGAGTATTGAAAATGTAGCCATTGGAGGAGCAACATTGCTTCCACTTTTAGTAGATGTTTCAATCGCCATTTGTAGAGAATTGAAGCACATTAATCAACTTTGTGATACTTCCTTTGGAGTTAATTCTGAAGCACAGATGAACTCTGAGTATCTAGTAGTTGAGAACACTGCGAAGTTACCCTACATCAATAGCTCTGATACCATGAAAGTTCCATTAGTGGAGGTTTGGATCACACTAAAGTGTATGAACCAATGAAAATAGAAGGAAGAAGAAACTATATTATTCTCTCAATATTTCACTGTTACATTGATTCATTTAACTTGTTCCTTTACATTTAGATGAGCACCTCTATTTATAGAATAGGATTGTAACAAATTTCCTAATTGATTATAGAAGCTTCTAGAACTCTTCTAACAACTTGACTCACTTAACACCATATAACTTGTTTTCACCTTTATTGCTCAACACTATTCAAAGTACAAGAGTTTAAAGATTTTATTTTGATTACGAATTCAGATATATTTTTTAATATAAAATTTATACATTCAAAAACTACATAAAAGTATTACAAATCAACACAAGTTATAATTTTAAAAATTTTTTAAAAAAAATATTGTGAAAAAAGATGTTTCACTTCCCAAATAGTTAATACTTTCATATAAGATAGGACAAAATAAAAGTAAAAAATAGAAATCCTTAAACTGGATGGACATCATCATCCAATAAGTTATATTAAAGAAAATTCGACCTCAGTCTAAAGTATTAGAATTTGAACTCCGATAGACAATACCCTTTATTATGAATGATTTAAAAATCTTATTCAAAATAAAGAGGTCTATGCCAAAGATAAAAGGGTACCACATGTATATATATTTAATTAAATTCAAATATAAGCTTTTTCACTTTTGCATATACATTTTTTCTTATTTGCATTTCAAAGTAAAATAAGTAAAACGAGATTGTTAAAAGAACAAAAGAATATAACGATATCATTATTGATTCACTTACAAGGAATTCAGTTGATCAAATTTAAAGACAATCTATTCTTACATGAGAGTCTGAGAGATAACACCTTCTATTCTAAGAGATAACATGATCTATAGAAGTCCTTTGTGCTAACATAAAATGGCTATGCATCCCTTCTTTTCAATTGACTTTTTACATATATTTTTTTTTTAAAAAATTATTTAAAAAGAATGTATCTTTTAGTTTTACAACTTTTCAGTTTTAACTTTTCATACTGACATGTTCAAGATCATAAAATTAAATAATTAATAATATTTTGATACATTTTAAATACTTTATCTTCACTTTTACTTGTCCACTATATCCAAAACAGATTTTCATACTTTTACTTGTTACTTTTTCTATGTTTTCACTTTTACCCTTTAGCACTAGTCCTTAAAACATTTTTCAAGATCTAATACTAAACTTCAGTTAATAGGGCACAGTATGATAAACTAGTCATACTAATCATTGTTTTCTTAACAGAAGTATCAAGTCTTAATAAGATCACATAATTTTTTCCCCTTAAGTTACATATCAAATTAAAACTAGACAAAAAGGTGAAGGGATTATTTTTTAAAACCTCATGCACTAACGTCGCTGATATTTAACATTAAAATAGAAACGTGTAGCATGTAATATTACACCTATATATCTAATCTTACGACTGGTGGACCCATCGTCCGATCGATGTCTCCTTTTTATTATGAGTTTTTGTTCCACTCATCATTTCATTTCATATAAGTCATTGATAAATTCGTTGCCACTGTACAATTTTACCAGTTTTCTGTGTTGTAATTTTTGATTCTGAATTACAATATTCTGTGTTACAACAAAAGGGTATTCTTATTCCCCAGTATATGATTCTGATCAATTAATTACAACTACCTTTGTGGGAATCTTATCATATATACTAACCTAGCTAGTACATCACTTTTGTTTTGTGAAATTGTGTGGAATGGAAACTTTATTTTCTACTTCTTCTTTATCAAATTCAAGTTGGATGAACAAGAATAAGAGAGAATGGACTAAAGAAGAGAACAAGCAATTTGAAAGTGCTATTGCAATCTATGATGAGAAAACTCCTGATCGATGGTTTAAAGTGGCTGCCCTCATCCCTGGAAAGTCAGTTATTGATGTAATCAATCAATATAAAGAACTCGTTTCAGATGTTTATGATATTGAAGCTGGATTGGTACCAAATCCTGGCTATTTCGCCTCTTCGATTACGTTGGAATTGGTTGATCATTGTGGATTACAAACATTCAGAAAAAGAGGGAGTAAATCATCTGATCAAGAAAGAAAAAAAGGTGTACCATGGACTGAAGAAGAACACAGGTCTGCTGTTTCCTCTTCACTCTGTTTTCCTTCTTAAATTGTTGTTGCTTCTAATGTTAATATACAGGGGCGGATCTAAGGAAAACGACAGGGCCCCTCGTCAAAAGATTACACTTGTAGATTTTTGAATTTCTTAAACGACTGCATTATTTCTTATATACCATTTTTTTTTGTATAGGAGATTTCTGATGGGACTTGAGAAGTATGGAAAAGGGGATTGGAGGAACATATCGAAGAAAATGGTAATTTCTAGAACTCCAACTCAAGTAGCTAGTCATGCTCAGAAATACTATCAGAGACAGATTTCAGGGGGCAAAGATAAGAGGAGGCCTAGTATTCATGACATTACCACTGTCCATATCACAGCGGACTCTGCGTCCCCAAATAACCTACTATATAACATCAATTCCTTTTCTAAAGAAAAAAAATTATATGCAACACACAACTCCTCTTTCCAGAAAACCACAACGCCAGACATAGTCAACTGTTGGAATGCTAACTTATCAAATGATCATGAAGATGTGATGGATTTTGGATCATCATTTGTCGCCTATCCGTATGAGATTGCTTCACAGTCTTGGGATGAACATGGAATTGACGACATTACTATGAATGCTGATTCACAACTCCAGTTCCAATCAACAAGATATCAGATATGGGGTTGAAAAATGTACTCACTCTGTTTTAATTTGTAATCTTGGTTATTAAATTATTAATTAATGTAACTCAAGTTTAGTTGGTCTAATTTGTATCTCACTCTTTCAGACTTCAAATGAAAATATTCTGATCAAGTAATTGTGACTGCGTTCAATTGAACCTATTATTTTTAGCATTAAGTGCACAACCCTGAAAAGTAGGAGTATTAAATTTTGATTCCTTCTTTTCAAAGAATTCATAATAGATTAAATTTCGAATCTAGTATAACATGTTCAAATAAAACTTAATTTATAATAGATTAAATTTCAAATTCAATATAACATGTTTAAATAAAACTTACGTTCGAAAAAGCTATTTGAAGATATAACTTAAATCGGAAACATTGTATTGTTACGCTCATTTATAATCAAATATAATCTTTGGGTTGTTGCTATGATTTTTGTTTCTTGTCGTGGCCAAACATAAAAGTTTTTTTCTTTCCCAAAAAATTGCATAGAATTTTTGCATATTGAAAAACTGTGTGACGATTCCTTCGGCGGGAGGTTTTCCACTAGCTAATAATAGTAGCCCTTTTAGAGTAGTGCAGCAACTTTTATCTTTTTGTTTTGCTTATTTTCTTAATACAAAAGGCAAAAATGGGACCTCTTGACCTGTGTATGTACAAAGACGCTGACCCCTTTTTCCTCCATTTTCTTAAAACATTAGGCATGTAACTGGAAGCAGACGCCAGTCCAAATCAGTCACAATATCTTTAACAAATATCACTTTGCACAACATCAATCTGATTGGAACTGGAGATCATGTTGATACTACCTTTATTGAGTTTAAGGGCCGGTTTGGCCATAAATTTTGCAAGTAAAACTTGGAAAAAAACTTGGCAAATTTTGTTTATTCATACATTTTTTAATTATTTGGCAAATTTTCCAAATTCCCAAATACTAGAAAAAACTAGTATTTGGGCCAAATTTCATTATTTGGAAAGTTTTAAAAATTCAATTTTTACCCTAAACTTTTTATTTTACAAAAAGAATATATTTATTGACACCAACCAATTCAATTAGCTCCCCATCTGCCAACATTATTTAGTCTTAACGAACTAGCTACTAAATAAAACATGAATTGCATTTATTTTATTTTGGTAGATAAATATTACGTTGTTGATGTTGGTCTACGGAACACAAGATGATTTTTAACTCCATTCAAAGGAATGCGCTATCATTTACAGGACTACCGAGGAAGTGAAAGAGAGCCTAAGAATGGAAAAGAGCTATTTAACTATAGACATGCTTCTCTGCGCAATGTAATTGAAAGAACTTTTGATGCGTGGAAAAGTAGATTCAGAATACTAAGACAAGGCATGAACAATTATGAATGTGACATGCAAGTGAAAATAGTAATTGCTTACGCTGCATTGCATAATTTTTTACGTGAACACCAAAGTAGTGATGGAATATTCAATGAATATGAAAATGATAATATGGTTGTTGATGAAAGTGACGAACTATTGGCTCAGGGTAACAACATCGCTTCATCTTCTCGATCATCTGATTCGGAAATGCAAGCTCATTGAGAAGAGATTGTTCATAAAATGTGAGAAGATTATATTAAAGAATAGGTTGAACTCTTTCAGACGAGAAAGCATAGGTTCTTCAGTGATTGCAATATTTATTTCTTTTTGTTTTCTTCTCTTTATTTTTTTCCCGAATTTATATTAGTTATATTTTCATTACCATGATTTGTACCAAGACCTTTTCACTATACGAATATTTATTGTAATGATTCTTGTTGATTTTGAAAGAGTTGGTTTTGGTTTTTGTGGAATCAAACTAAATGGAAGATGAATTAATATGAATATTTGGTAGGAAGATAATTAGTAGGAAATACAAGTCAAAGATTGTATCTTGGTAGGTGAAAGTTAGGCAAACCATATAATGGTTTGCTATTTTAACCTTGACAATTTTGACACATAGCGATGTCATGGATGACATTAATAGGATGAATTTATTCCTATAAATAGGTAGCTCTTAATTCATTTTCAAATCATCCTTTTACTTGCCTTCTCATCTTCTAAGGCATTGTGTTCTCTCTCTTGTAGTATTTCACTTATATTCTTTGTATAGTGAAATAAATATTGATGCAGTTGTTCTTTGGTGGACGTAGGATCATTTTGATCCGAACCACGTTAAATATTGTTGTTCTTCCTTGTTCTTTAGTTTCACGTTTCCGCTAACAGATTTGTTGCGGAAGTCATAAATCTTGTTACATGAGATTTCTATTGTGCTATGTAATACAAATTTATGATTAGTTTGATAGTTTTAAAAACTTATGGGTAGAAATCATATTTCTTAAAAAAATGAAATTTGTTTCTCAAATTTTATGGCCAAATACATGGTAAAATTTCACCCAAATTTTCATCCAAATAATATTTGCCAAAAATATTTGAATATCTATGGACAAACGCTAGCTAAATGTTATGCATAGACTCTGTAAAAGAATTATCAGGAAGTGAGATTGATATTATGAAATTTTTTTATCTGATACACCTTGTTAAAATAATTATCACTGCATTTGTCCTTTATATTAAAAGAGAACAACATTTTTTATATTTATATAATTTAATTTTAATATGTTCATTTTATTTGAAATAAAATAATTTATAATTATAATTTTTTTTATTTTTAATAAAATGATATATATTTTATTTAAACTACAAAATTTTAAAAATTAAACTCCGTACTAAGACATGACGAAAAAAGTTATAGCTTTTGACCTGCCAATATATGTAAGAAAAATATAAAAAAGATAACCGAATTGTTATAACAAGTGCTATACGAGATGCGTGGTCAAGATAGACCTACACGTGGAAGATCAAATAAGAAGTAATTTTACACAAGAGGAAGTTGGTACAATCCACCTCGAAGTAATGAAACCACACAAAGGCCAATGCACTAAAAAATGATACTTCATCTGTTTATAAATGTTTGTATATTAGGTTTATCGAAAAATTAATTTAATTAATTTTAAAAGATAAATTAAATTATGTTAATTTGATATTTTAAATAAAAAATGATATATATTAATGAAATATGAAAAGTATTATAAATTATAATTTTTTCATATTAATATAATAAAAAGATACATCTTAAAATATTAGTCAATTTTTTTATAATTTAACTCTATAAATAGAAATCATGACAAACAAAAACTGAACGAATGAAGTAAATTCTTAAATTATATTTTAGACCTAACTCAAAGTAATACATTCGTTTCATTATCTTTCAGGGAGTAAATAATTAGGGTAACTGTTAAAAGAAGTGAAGATGAGTTAGTTAGTGGCAGCAACTAACTATTCAAAAGTTAGTTAGAAGTTGAAGTTAGTTGGTAGTTAGTTAGGCCTATTATTGTAATTTCAAGTTAGTAGGTTGTTACATCGATTAATGTGTAGAGTTAGTTAGTTAGTTTGTATTTTTTTGTTTGCATTATCTGATTGCTATATAAGCAATACAGATCACGTGTAGAGAATTAATTCAATTCAACAATTTTACTCTTTCATTCTTCTTCTTCTTCTTTGGTAAAAGCTTCAAGCCTCATCAATGGAGTAAGGCTTGGAAGCTACTGTTTTTGTTCATGGTATCAGAGCAGTGTAATCTGTATCATTAGAGGAGTTTAAATCTCTGTCAATTTGTGATAATCTGTAGCTTAAGATCTACAGATATGGTAGGAGTGGAGATCGATCAGAATGATCCATTATTCATTGGAAATTCTGATAGTTCTAGTGCTGTGTTAGTTCCAATCAAGTTGGTTGGATCTGAGAACTATGGAATCTGGAGTAGAGCAATGAGAATTGCATTATTGGGGAAGAGGAAGTATGGTTTCGTAACTGGCACTTGCACAAAAGATCTGTAAAAAGATGAATTGCATGAGCAATGGGAAACTTGCAATGCTATTGTGCTGTCTTGGCTGATGAACACAGTCAGTGAAGAGCTACTTAGTGGCATTGTGTATGCCACAAATTCTTTCTCAGTATGGAATGATCTAAAGGAAAGATTCGACAAGGTGAATAGAGTAAGGATCTATCAATTACATAGAGATATCACCACTCTCTCACAAGGTACAGATTCTGTATCTCATTACTTCTCAAAGTTGAAAACACAATGGAATGAGTATGATGCTATAGTTCCAAATTCCATATAATTCATGTTCTCAGTCGAAGGAGTATAATAATCATTTGGAACAGATGAGATTGATTCACTTCTTAAGTGGCCTAAATGAATCATATGATCAGGCTAGGAGACAAATACTACTCAAAGGAACTACACCTTCTATGAATCAAGCTTATGCTATGATTATAGAAGATGAGATTTAGCACTCAAGTTATATGGATAATGTAGTTGAGAAACCAAGTTCTATGGTAATGAGTGTTAACAGGAATCAAGGAACTGGAAAGGAACATTACAAGGGAAAGAAATGTGATTACTGCCATTTCTCAGGTCACACAAAGGATAATTGCTACAAGTTGATTGGTTATCCAAGTGACTGGAAACAAAGGAAGAAACCAGGTTTTGGAAATGGGAATGGAAACACAAGAAATGGTACAGGCACAAGTCAATTCAATGGATATGGGGGACAAAGTTCAGGAAATAATGGTGGATATGGAAGAGGATTTCAAGCTGCAAACAACATCTCTAATGATAACTGTGATCATCCTAATGCTATGTCAAATAATCAGGTGGAAAACAATAACATGCAGAAGGTGCCAAAGGGACAAACATTCATGAGAAGGAGTATAACCAAATTATGGAAATGCTGAACAAAGATGTACAAGAAACAAAACAAGTTAATATGGCAGGTATTACAACTTGTTTAATAACAAATCCTGCTATACAGGATTGGATTGTTGATTCAGGTGCAACTCATCATATCATTGCAAATAAGCAGCTACTAACTAGGAGACATGAATTAACAAAGTCACAAATGAATCAAGTTCATCTTCCAACAGGTGACAAGGTTACAGTCAGTCATATTGGTGAAACACCTATATTTGAAAATGAAGTGGCCAGAAGTGTTTTACATGTGCCAGATTTCAAGTTCAGTCTACTGTCAGTGTCAAAGATTACAAGAGAACTAAATTGTTTTGTATCTTTTTACCCTGACTTTTGTGTGTTTCAGGACCTCTGCAGTGGCAGGGTGAAGGGGATTGGTAGAGAAGAAGGAGGATTATACAGTTTTAAGGCTGTTTTTTCATCTAAACAAAGGGAAGAAATAAAGTGTGCTCAAGAAATAGTAGCTGCAGGAGCTGTAATACAAGACACAAAACTATGGCACAGAAGGTTAGGACATCCATCTCAACAGATATTAAGACTTCTCAAGACAGATACAAGCAGTAAAAGTGATGAAATATCAACACATTGTCCTGTTTGCCCTTTAGCTAAGCAAACTAGACTTGCTTTCCCTGTTAGTACTACTAGAGCATCCATGATGTTTGATGTTGTTCATATGGATCTATGGGGGCCTTATAAGACTCCTACTCTAGATAGAAAGCATTACTTCTTGACTATAGTAGATGACTATAGTAGATTTTTATGGGTTCATTTGTTGCAGTTAAAATCAAAAACCATTGTAGCCATCAAAATTTTTCTTTCAATGATCAAAACTCAGTTCAATTCTCATGTCAAAGTTGTGAGATCAGATAATGGCACAGAGTTCCTTAATTCACAGTGTAGAGATTTGTTCAATCATCTGGGAATATTACATCAGAGTAGTTGCCCTCACACACCACAACAAAATGGTGTGGTTGAAAGAAAGCACAGACACATCCTTAATATTGCAAGAGCAATCAGATTCCAAGCTCATCTATCTATCAGATTTTGGGGTTATTGCATTAAGGCTGCAGTTTATTTGATGAATAGGTTACCATCATCAGTCAATTCCAACAAGAGTGCCTATGAGTTACTTTATTGTAAACAACCTAGTTTATCTCATCTAAAGGTTATAGGTTGTCTTTGTTATGCTACAAAAATGCCCAAAAGGAGATAAATTTTCAGCCTGAGCTAGTGCAGCTATTCTCTTGGGGTACTCAGAATTACAGAAAGGATATGTGTTGTTGGATATTCACTCTACTAAAGTGCATATGAATAGAGATGTGATATTTCATGAAGAAACATTTCCTTTTGCTAAAGTGAGGCCTCAACTTGATCCATTAGTTGATGTACATGGTTCACCCTTAGAGAAAGCAGAAAATCAAACTATTGAAGTTGAGATTGATAATAGTGAACCTGCAGACACTGGTATAGTTCATGAAGACAGTCAGAGTAATGAGGCTGAGAATTCTTCAGAAGATCAGATGTTTAGACCAAGTACAACAGAGGAAGTTGCAGAAAATACTCATGTTGTACCATCACATGTTGACTCTTATGTTCGAAGATCTTCAAGAAGCATCAAGGAGCCAATGTGGATGAAAGATTATGCTATTACTAAAGGCCATAGTAGCACTAAACATCCTATGGCTAGCTATCTGAATTATGAGAAGCTAAAACCTAAGTGTAGAAGTTTTCTGAGTAAACTTTCAGAGTATACAGAACCTAAGAATTTCAATCAAGCTTCACAAGATGAAAGGTGGATACATGCTATGAAGCATGAAATCAAAGCTCTTGAAGATAATAATACATGGCAAGTAGTTGAACTACCAGAAGGTATGCATGCAGTTGGTTCCAAGTGGATATATAAAGTTAAGTATAAGGCAAATGGTGAGATAGAAAGGTTTAAAGCAAGACTTGTAGCAAAGGGATACAGTCAACAAGAAGGGTTGGATTATCATGATACTTTTTCTTCAGTAGCCAAGATGGTAACAGTTAGATGTGTCATTGCATTGGTAGTATCAAAGGGCTGGACATTGTACCAGATGGATGTCTACAATGCTTTCCTACAGGGTGATTTAGATGAAGAAATCTATATGAAGATGCCTGAAGGTTTTGCAAAGCCAGGTGTAAACAAAGTCTGCAAGTTGTTAAAGTCTTTATATGGACTTAAACAAGCCTCGAGACAGTGGAACCTGAAGCTTACAAAGGTGTTACAAGCTACAGGTTTTAGTCAGAGTGCTCATGACTACTCACTGTTCACACTAAAGAAGGAGAAAGATATTGTCATTATCCTAGTCTATGTAGATGATCTATTGATCACAGGAAATAACACACAACTGATTGCTGAGGTTAAGGTATGTCTATACAAACAGTTCAAGCTGAAGGATCTAGGTGAACTTAAATTTTTTCTAGGCATTGAAGTATTAAGATCTTTTGGAGGAGTTATTTTTAATCAAAGGAAGTATATATTGGAACTTATTGCTGAAGCTGGATTAACAGGTGCTAAACCTGCAGTTACACCAATGGAGTCTAATTTGAGATTAACCTCTGTAGAACATGATCAAGCAAATGGCTATGTTAATGATGATGTGCTGCATGACATTACTTCATATCAAAGGTTGGTTGGTAAATTGTTATATGCTACTATGACCAGGCCAGACATAAGTTATGCAGTGCAAACCTTAAGCCAGTTCATGCAATCTCCCAAGAAATCACATATGGAAGCAGCTACTAGAGTGATTAGATATTTGAAAGGTTCAGTTGGTCAAGGTATATGGTTACACTCTGAACCTACCAACATAATTACATGCTGGTGTGATTCTGATTGGGCAGCCTGTCCTAACACAAGAAGGTCCATCACAGGATATGTGATTAAGTTTGGAGAATCCTTAGTTTCTTGGAAATCAAAGAAACAACAAACTGTTTCAAGAAGCTCAGCTGAAGCTGAGTACAGAAGTATGGCATCAGCAGTCTCAGAAATTACTTGGCTTCTAGGATTGTTCAAGGAATTAGGAGTGAATGTTCAATTACCTATTACAATCTTTAGTGACAGCAAATCAGCTATACAACTAGCAGCTAATCCAGTGTTACACGAAAGGACAAAACACATTGAGATAGATTGTCATTTTATCCGAGATAAGATCAAATCAGGAGAAGTGGACACTGCCTATGTTCACACACATCAACAACTCGCAGACATACTGACAAAAGGGCTGAGCCAAGTTCAACATGTGCATCTTCTAGGCAAGCTTGGAGTGATCAATATTATGCACTCATCAGCTTGAGGGGGTGTGTTAAAAGAAGTGAAGATGAGTTAGTTAGTGGCAACAACTAACTATTCAAAAGTTAGTTAGAAGTTGAAGTTAGTTAGGCCTATTATTGTAATTTCAAGTTAGTAGGTTGTTACATCGATTAATGTGTAGAGTTAGTTAGTTAGTTTGTATTTTTTTGTTTGCATTATCTGATTGCTATATAAGCAATACAGATCACGTGTAGAGAATTAATTCAATTCAACAATTTTACTCTTTCATTCTTCTTCTTCTTCTTTGGTAAAAGCTTCAAGCCTCATCAATGGAGTAAGGCTTGGAAGCTACTGTTTTTGTTCAGTAACTCCTAGGGTAGACCAAAGGATTGAATTTAATGTATATTTTTAAAAGATATCTGAAAAGAGCATTAGTTTATTCTTGAGTTCTTGAATGGAGTGTAGTGAATGATGAATTTATTTCTTTCGCCTTTTTGATGATTAATCAGATTTTCGTAAAGAATAGGTGAATATATAAAGTTATAGCGATCAATACATATGAGGTCTGAATCAGAAATTCTATCTTCTTTTTGACCATAAAAATCCGCAGTACAACGAGTGTGACATGTCAAAAGGAGATGCTCTAGAAAAATTCGTCTCTTGGTTACTTTTTAAGTTAAACTCATCGCTTCGAATAATCTAATATGATTATATCTACTATATAATTTGTAAACTATTGCATATAAAAGCAGATGAATTCAAAAAATAGTAATGGTAAATTTCCCAAAAGAAAAAAGAAAGTATGATAAGAAATCGTTGGTCTGAATTTAGGAAAATTAAAAGATGCAATTTGGGCAAGTTGACTGAGTTTGATCGCTTTTGCAGGCTGCTGCTTTAATGTCCACTAATTTCAGAATCATCCCTTTTGGAATCCTCATGTTTTCTTCACATTATTACGTTCCACGCAACTCTCTTAATTACTATATAAATTTACCGCCTCATTTCGTCTCCTGTTTATTCCTATGCTAAGTTTCCTAGTAAAAGAGTCATGAAATGGAAAACAAAGAATTTTATACTATAATTATTTACATCTT